AGGATACATAATTTTATCTCTTAATATTAAAAAAAATTGTTTTTCCAGAATGCATGTTCAAACATTATGCCAACACCGGAGGAACTTGCAGCTTTTGATTTAACTGAAGATGAACATGATCCTCCTTCTTCACCCACCACAACATCTGTCAATCCCAAGATAGTTCAACCGAATGACATTGCTGATTTCGATGATTTCTCCACAAGACCTCCCGAACAGTTGTTAAGGAGATCATCTAGAGTGTCTGATACATCATCTCCACCACCACCAAAAAGAAGAAAGAAAGTGTATACACCTAAAACAAAGGTGTCAGAACCCAGTCAGCCAGATCAGTCCAATGTGTCATTAAATCAGCCATTTTCTATTCCAGATGATCCTCCGACACCGGCTGCTAATGTACACGGTTCTGCAAATGCTCAAAAAGTCAACTATGTAATTCCAGATATTGAAGAATTGAAAGATCATTTGAAGAATTACGTAAGTAATTATTTCAATTTTATTATTTTTTCTTTATATTGATTCTAATTGTAGTTGTTTTTTATAATTTTTTGATAGGTTGACAAGAAATTTGAGGAACTTATAATATTGATAAAGGAAAACCACTCGCAGTTGATGCTATCTCGACACAAGGAAAACAACAAAGTTGATCCTCAATCAAGCAATAAACAACCATCTTCACATATACGGACTGATTTTGCTGCTGCATTTGGTGTAGCTGATTTTGAGGTTGGTGTATCTGTTAATGAGGGTGGACATCAAGATTCATGTCAATGCAGAGGTACGTATCTGATACATTCTTTGTAATTGTCGTTATATCTCATACATTAAGTATGTATTAAGAATCATAAACATATGTATCAGCACATATAGATCATATATATAGTTAAGGTGATTTACCGAATCTTCTATCTCATTAATCAATTATATATTTCAACTTTATATTCATCACTTATGTTAAATAATGTTTCAGTAACAATTATGTTAACACCTTTTTATTATTAAAATTCAAATATAGATTGATCATAATATCAGTAACCAAAGCTTTAAATTGATGAAGCACATCAAGCCCCACAAGCTTTAAATGAAGTAAACATGGATGAAGATGGTGCTGACACAGTTCAACACAACATCCGTCATTTTATGCCTTTTAGAATAATAGTTGATACATCGGTATATTTATCAATTATGCATCACGACACTAATATTCATTATATGCAATGATACTAAAAAAATATATAATATCTTATTATACAGGATTCTTCCACATCAACGACAATATCGCCCTCAACTGAAGCAGCAATAGATGCACTTGTATCCGATCTAGGAAAAGTTCCTATTCCTACTAAACCATTGTGTGTTTACAATCCACAGGATTTAACTGGTAGTCATGATTTGTTGTCTGATAGTCAATTACCCATTGATATTCCAACCACCGAGATTGTTGTTAGAAGTCATTCAAAGACTCCTATGCCTAGAAACATGATGCCTTCAAGAATTATTCAATCTCCATACGTGACTTCTTTTGGGTCAAGTGATAAGGGAAAACAGAAATTGGATGACGATGTTCGTCTGTATTTTCCATTTGAAGGATGTGGGATTACATATCAACCTTCATCTAAACTAATTGATGAGTATATGCAGTGGTTAACCAAGGGGCTTCTCAAAAATCATGCCAATAAGTAAGTTTTATACATATATTTTGTAAATGTTTGGATTAACTTAATTTGATGTAACCAATTGATAATACAAATATTATCACAGGAAACCATCGGAGGATAAATACAGATCAAAAGCCTCTTCTTTTGAATTTGAGATGATGAATTTTGTTGTTGCATTTCCAATGAACAAGAACTGGTTCTATGCCATGTCACAGCCAAACAAATGTTGGACTGATCAGGTAAAGTTCTTAATGAAACAATTTAAGCATGTATCAGATACATTGATATAGAACAACATGCTACAAAAAATCATCCTGGATACAATCAAATAAACTATCAAATTAGTATTTGTTTAGATTATTATTTAATGTATCAATTCTATCATATACCTTTTTTTACAAGTTTCTAATTTCGTTTATCATGTTTTTTATAGCACATCGATGTTGTTTTTTACTACCTCCGTAAAAAATCAAAACTCCGCAGCATAAATCAGTACAGATACACAACAGCCAACTGCTTGTTCATCTCACACATCAAAAATACCTATGAAAGGTATTACCTGGCTAATGATGATGATCTTATTAGTACCCAAGAACACATTGATCGCGCTTCAGTTGTATCTGTATATGAGAGGTCAATCACTAACATCATCAAAGGTTTTGAAATCCCAGCTGCTTTACCATGGCATCTTGTAGACGATGTTTACATTCCGGTTAATTGCGGTGGATAATTTCATTGGGTGCTTGTTGTTGTTGAACTGAAAAACAAAGTGATAAGGGTGTATGACTATTCATTAGGTTCAAGGAAAAAAGCAATTCCGCACGAGATAAATATGTTGTCTAAAATGCTTCCTTCTTACCTCATGGACAGTGGATTCTTTGAAAAAACTGAGCGAACAAGCTTTGTTGATTGTGATGCGTACAAGGACAATAATTTTGGTTCACTTTTGGAGGCACAAGTTCCTTTCATGGTTGAATTTGCCCAAGACATTATGCAACAAAAGAGTGACAGCCTGTAAGTATTGTGCTTTTATTGTTTTTGAATCATGTATGATTTAAGTTTATAACTGATATTCTGCATTTTTGTAGAGACTGTGGGTTATATGTTGCTATATTTGCGGAGTATCTGAGCGACCAAATCGAAACATCATATGTTGATTTTCTCCTGAATATCTACGCAAAAAGATATGGAGCATTGTTGTGGAGTTATGGCAGCGAGAAGGCTAAGGGCGCATACGTTAGTGAGAATGATGATCCACCAAAACCTAAGAGTGTAGTCACACAACCACCAGAAGAAGATTTGGTTCACGTAGTGTAGTAATTAAGTATCTATGCATAGACAATGTTTTATTTTTTTTTTAGGATCCTTTTGACAATTTCACTCATGTTTTAGTCTGTTTTGATACAGTATGGACCAACATACTTTGCTTATAAAAAGTTAAATTTCAGACACACTATTGCATTACATAAAGAAAAAGTGCAGTATATAACATATATAGTAGCTGATACATGTTTTCATTGTTATTATGTATCTTCTAAGTAATAACATATTGCTAACAAATAGATTTTTGAAACTTTAACGTATATGATTCATTATTTATAATTACGTGCAACATAATATATATAGTATATGATACACGATTCATAACTATTGTGTTAAATAAACTGTTTACAAACTTAATTGTTTAATGTATGTATCATAATATATATAGTATATGATACACGATTCATAACTATTGTGTTAAATAAACTGTTTACAAACTTAATTGTTTAATGTATGTATCATAATATATATAGTATATGATACACGATTCATAACTATTGTGTTAAATAAACTGTTTACAAACTTAATTGTTTAATGTATGTATCATAATATATATAGTATATGATACACGTTTAATAGCTTATTGCTAACATATAGGTTGTGTATGTTTTAATGTAAATGATACAGTAACCAATTAATATATATGATACAACAAACGTTATATAATTTGATGTAGGAATTTACATTACTGAAATTATTTTATTATTTAATGCATATGATACATTAGCTTATACGTTAACCAACATTTTATTTATAATTGCACCTTAAAATTTATTTATCAGAATTAACATTGATACACAAATCATAACAAACTATTTTTTTGAACAACAATACTTATTAATAACAAATGTAAACAATACAGTTTACAATTTTTTGAACAGCAATACTGATTAATAACATTGATAACTGTTTACGTGAAAAATTGTTCAACAAAAACATTTAATGTCATATAAATATTATGATGATTTCACTTTTCTTTTGGAAAGAAAGTACAAGTTCTTCTGTTGTGACCCTTCTTGTCCACATTGTCCACAACAATTTGTGTTCACTGTAATCTTTTCATCTGCATTCTTTTTTCTTCTTTTCCTTGGTCTTCCAGCTAATCGTTTGTATCTAGGTAGATACACAGTTTCAGCTACAACATCCTCAGGAGCTGACCAATCTTCTTTATCTGGCATTGGAACCATTGGAATCTCATAAGGCTGGGCACCGGACCGGAATGGGACCACCGGACCGGAACAAACCGGAACCGGAACGAGACGGTTTGACTGGGTTGTTGATCGGTACCGGGATGAATCGGACCGGAACTACCGGGATGGAGGCTCGGTTTCGTCCCGTCCCACTATATACCGGGATAGAACCGGGACGGACCGGAATGGACCGAAACGGAACGGGATGGGATGGGATAAACGGGACGGCATATATAGCTATTTCAAAAAATAATTATTTTTTTTGAGTTATTTTGAATTACGAAAATACGAATTGTTTTTTTATTTTTCTAAGTTATATTAGTTTATAGTATTTAAGTTTTAAAATTTATAATAATTTTACTTAAGTTTATTTTAAAGATATTTTTTTAATTTTTACGTATATAAGTTTGTAAGTTAAGTTTAATAAAGTTTTTTTTAGTTTTTGAGCTTATGTAGTTATGTTAAAAGTTTTAAAGATTTGAATCTTTTGAAGTTTATAAGTTATTAAGTTATACTTATAACTTGTAAGTTAAATAACTTAAGTTTGTAATTTTAAAAAAATTAAATAAACAAAAAAGAAATGCTAATAAAAGTAAATAATGACAAAAATATTATTTTTCATTTTAATTAAAAATGATTTATCGGGACCGGACCTATCGGGAATCGGAATGAACCGGGATGAACCGATACCGGTATACCAGTACCAAATCATGGTACCATTCCGTTCCTTGTACCGGTTCAATGTATCCCATCCCGTCCCGAATACTATCGGACCGGAACGGACCAGAATGGTACCGGTACAACCCATTCCGGTGCCCAGCCTTAGAATCTAATATGTTTTTGCTAATGCATCAGGCTTGTAGTAATCAGAGCAATATGGATGCATATATTTAACATTCTTTTCCTTTAAAACAGCGATTGCATGTGCGCAAGGTATCTCATCTAGTTGAAATCTTCCACAAGAACATACTTTCCGCTCAAGACAAACAATGTATCTTCTTCCAGCTTCATAAACCGAGAAAATAAATTCAGATGATGGAACAACCTGCGTACATTTAAAGAAATCATGTTCAAACAACAGAATGATACACCGAATTATATACATAGAATATAAAATAATGTATCATGACACATACCTCCATCTTCGAACTTTTAGACGCGTTTATAATCAATATCTCCTCAAATCTTCTCCCTAATGTGTCCTTTGTATATGAGGCTATTTCTCTATTTTTGCAATGCCAAGAACCAAATAGAATTCTAACTTCTTCCAAGAATTCTAATATAGACAATTGTTGTGCTTCAACAAGACAACCATTGATACATTCCGCAATGTTCGAAGTCATCATTCTACCTCTATTTACTGTTGAATGAACTCTCGACCACTTCTCATACCCTGCATCCTCAAGGTACTCCTTAACCCTGTGATCAATTTTATCAACCTTAGCCATCAATTTATCAAAATCCTCCTTTCTGTATGCCTTGGCCATAGAGTAAAATAGATCACTTAGGGTGTTTCTACTCCTTTTGAAGTTGCCACATACATTCTTCCAAAGATGCCATATGCATGCATAATGAGGTATATTTGGGAACACAGTCCTTACACTCTTCATAATACTCTCATTCATATCTGATGCAACACACATTTCTTCACGCTCGCCAAATGCATTTTTGAATTGTTCGAAGAACCATGTCCATGAACAGTCATTTTCAGTGTCCACAACACCATATGCCAATGGAAATATGCAACCTAATTACAGAGCAACACATATTATTTCATTTGATACATAACATTTACAACCTCATAACTACAAAAAATACATACCTGCCCCATCAAGTGTGCTTGCTGATACAAATGTCCCTTTGTAAGCTCCGCCCAGATGTGCACCATCGACAATAACTATTGGTCTGCAGTAATCGAACCCCCTAATCAATGGTCTTAAGGCTACGAACAGATACATAAATTCATCTTCCTCAGTCTTCTGCATCTTTATATAAGAATTTGGATAAACAATATTTAGCATGTATATGTATCTCGGTATCTGTCTATATCCAGCTGATGGTTTACCCCTTATCATTTCTAGTGCACGTTCTTTAGCACGCCATGCCTGCAGGTAAGATATTTGAACCCCATAGAATTCTCTAATATCTGCAATTATATCTTTTGGAGTATGAATTCTTTTATGGTTGAACAATTTGGGAGCAGTCACACCACTTACAAACCCGACTGTTGCTTGGACTTTGGTTAGTACCCTATCTCGCATTGGACACGTATGTTCACTATTGAAGTATCTAACTTTGAAAACATCAGATTTTTTTCTGCAGGAAGCCTTCATAGTCCAGCCACATTCATCCGAAAAGCATACCAATACATAACTGTACAATTTTTTTCATCATATTAATACATATAACAGTTACATGTTATAATATATAAAACACTAAAGTTCAAAGTAACCAAAGAATGATGTATTTTTTGTATCAGATTCAGAAAATAATTATTTATACACGTATCATAATTTTATTGAATGTATCAGCTACATGATTATTTACTGTTTCAACAGTATTATCTTAACGTATCAACAATATTAACTCAATGTATCAATAATATTAACGACCAACACAATTATTTTTTATCAGATTCAAAAAATAAATAAATAATGAATCATGTATCACAAAATGAAGGAATGTATCGACTACATGATTTTTGCGATTAAATTATTTAATTTTTAAACAGTCTAATCTGAACGTATCAACAATATTAACTTAATGTATCAACAAATACTGTATCATTATCAATCTACCACAAATCATATTCAACGAACTAAACAAAAATTCAAAATCAATGACTTTCTATTTAATAATGTATCATACATTAAAACAAAATAATGGTATCACCATTTATAGATCTAACGAATCCAATCACAGTTCTTCACAAAACAAATCAAATACTCGCTTACCTTTGTCTATCAGATCTCTTTACTTTGCAATTGAAATTGTTCTTTATCTTATATTTCGCCATCACATCTACGAGTGTTGCTTTATCCTTATATAACTGACCTGTCTTCACCTTTATACTATTTGAATCAATTATGTAATTTGTAACTTCCAATTCTGGAATATAATACGAATCACAAATTCTTGATTCAACCATCGCAAGAGCTTCTGTATCATGTGTTGTGCCTTCTACACACGTAATTTCTCCCCATGTTCCATCAAAGTTATGTACATCACCGCCAATCTTTTCATTTGTGTCAATGCATAATGGATACATTGCAAATCCTGGCTCTACTTTTTTTCACTTCTAAATAAAGTTTAACACCCATGTCGTTCTTAAGTTTCATCGGAGACGAGTTACCTTCTACGATGTAACTAATTTCAATGTTTTTCCTTGATACATCGATATCCAACTCGGCTGAAATTGCTGCTTTGAGATTCAAAAACGAAATTGATTGTCCAACAACGATTCTGTCACTTTTGTAACTTTCATATTTCACTTCGCTGACCCAAATTCCTGAATGCCTCTAGTAAAATTGATATATTCATCTTGTATCAGCAAAAAAATCAGAGTTTTATTCGTAATTTCTAGCTTTTTCTAAATCGATGGATGTTCACAAATTGTTCTTCAATGTAGAAGATATAATTTTGAAATTTGAAATTTTGTAATGTCTGAATAGATTACCTATTAAGATAAGGAATGTTTAGGATCAGTTAGGCGTAATTTAAGCTAATTAAATTAACAGACTTAATTATTACGTTTTTTTCCTTTTTTAGCGCGACATTCAGTTAATTCGCGTGTATCAGTGACAATGTATCAGCACTGTAGCTATGTATCAGTCGCCTACCTTTTTAAGGAATTTTTTGTAAAATGTAAATTAGTTGGGATAGGATGTAATTTATATCCTACACTATGGGATTCCTTTAATTTTTACAAAAAAAAAGTCATTTGGATTGATTTGTAATGGGCTTTGTTAGTACTAGGCCCAATGTGTCCTTGTGCCGGGGCATAAATAAAGATGGAGAAATGGGGATTCTCTACTAGTCGGAGAAAAATGGCGACATGGGGTGCATTTTTTGGTACAAGGGTTATGGAAATAGTGAAGAAGCATGATTCCGGCGGCCTTGTTTGGAAGAGAATTAAGCTCACATCTACTCGCAAAGCTAATGCCAAGAAACGTCTTCGCCGTGTTTGGCAGGTTCCTACTTCTATTCCCTTCACTCTTTACTTGTAAACGTTTAGGGTTTTACTCTGTTAATGAACATTATGAGGTGGATGGAGTATAGATTCAATGAATTCAACTATACCCAACACCGTTTCTTGGATTTTTATTTTTTATTATACCTAGAAGAAATGGGGAGTGTATTACAAGGCGGAGAATCGACTAATAAGTTATAAGAAATAATAATAATAATAATAATAATAATAATAATAATAATAATAATAATAATAATAATAATAATAATAATAATAATAATAATAATAATAATAATAATAATAATAATAATAATAATAATAATAATAATAATAATAATAATAATAATAATAATAATAATAATAATAATAATAATAATAATAATAATAATAATAATAATAATAATAATAATAATAATAATAATAATAATAATAATAATAATAATAATAATAATAATAATAATAATAATAATAATAATAATAATAATAATAATAATAATAATAATAATAATAATAATAATAATAATAATAATAATAATAATAATAATAATAATAATAATAATAATAATAATAATAATAATAATAATAATAATAATAATAATAATAATAATAATAATAATAATAATAATAATAATAATAATAATAATAATAATAATAATAATAATAATAATAATAATAATAATAATAATAATAATAATAATAATAATAATAATAATAATAATAATAATAATAATAATAATAATAATAATAATAATAATAATAATAATAATAATAATAATAATAATAATAATAATAATAATAATAATAATAATAATAATAATAATAATAATAATAATAATAATAATAATAATAATAATAATAATAATAATAATAATAATAATAATAATAATAATAATAATAATAATAATAATAATAATAATAATAATAATAATAATAATAATAATAATAATAATAATAATAATAATAATAATAATAATAATAATAATAATAATAATAATAATAATAATAATAATAATAATAATAATAATAATAATAATAATAATAATAATAATAATAATAATAATAATAATAATAATAATAATAATAATAATAATAATAATAATAATAATAATAATAATAATAATAATAATAATAATAATAATAATGATAAGGTGAAATTTCAGGTGAATTACTATGATTCCATGTTTCTTGGCATTTCTTAGCTGCGTTTTAAATATGGAATGTTATTGCTGGAATATTAACTCGAGATCACAAGTTTGGGACTTTTTATTGGGTTGAGATTATTGATATGTTGTTTATAGTTATGTAAACCAAAAGTGGCATACCATAGCGAAACTCGGAAATCTGAATTAATGTTTGTGTATGGGGGCTTCCATTTCAAAAGTCCTTTGCGAAGAGTTCCTTTGTCTTAAACTACTTTGTCCATATGTTAAAACTCCAGTTTGAGATCTAATGGTTGTGGTATTTGCTTTTGGAAATGTCTTTTCCTGCATACCCAGTTTGTCCGAAAATTCCTTCTTTTAGTTCGTCTGAATGAGCTGATCTTCTCCAGACTTAGTTGGCAGATTTACTTGACACCTGTGCTTGTGGGTTGTGTCAGAATGCTTGGTGGATTAAGAAAAAGTGAATCCTTCTTACCCCACACCATGCAAAGCGAAGCCTGGTATTTAAGTGGATAAGGGTAGAGGGGCGGGCTCATTATCCACCGAGTTTAGAAGGCTGTGATTTGTCCAAAGGGCGGGTCACAAACGGATTTCTCGGTTATCAAAAAGAAAAAGTGAATCCTTCTTCTTTTGGTGCCTAAGAATTTTAATGAGTCTTCTTTGGTGCAACCTTTTCCCCGGACCCTGCGTGAACGTGGGAACTGCCTTCTTCTTTTTTTGGCTCACACAAGCTCCAGTTAATTTTTCGGCTTTATCGCCTTATTCAAAGCTTTATTCCACTGGCTTATATAATTTGAATTTCCTTTGAAATATTATTTCCAACAAATGAAATGTCTGTCTTATAATTATTGATCTTTGGATATCCTTTTCTTGTATGATGCTGTGTAGTCTTAGGCAGTGTTGGTTGATAATACTCATTTGCATGTTTTATGTATCATTTAGGGGTTTCTTAAGTTGGACAAAAGTCGAAGGACACTTGGTTCCTCAGGTTAGGTCACTTCGATTGCTTAAGCCCTTACTGCAATAGAGTAGGCCGCTTTAGTTGGCAGAGTAAGATAGTACCCGAGTTTCACTTGATTGGCCTTGAGTTGGGTGCTCTATGTTATGTTTAAATTGGAGACAATTATGTTGACTATGTTATTGAGGAACTAATGATCTTAAGATGCAAATATTCATGTAATGAAGGCTGAATTAGGTAATTCACTGGTCATTATTCCCATTTAAAATTACCTTGAGGAATAAACCCAAAGGATACTTTATATTGGATTGAGAAGGCGTTTAAATGGAGCGACTTGGATAGTAAAGATTTATAAAGGGACTACAACTAGATGAGAATTGAGGTGAAGTAGTAGTTGTTGTTTTCTAGACCGTTTTTTCTCAATAAAACTATACTATATGACTGGTATGATCAGTTCAACAATGGAAAAGTAAAACTGCTTAAATGAGCTATTTAGCAAAGCTGATCAACAACTATTTATTTTTTTGCTCAGGTAATGATAGTTAGTTTCCAGTCCCACTTGTGGGATCACACTAGGTTTGTTCTTTTTGTTGTAATGATAGTTAGTTTGCCTAAAAGTGAGGTTACCTACAACATATAGAGATAAAATATGTAGTCTCGAATAGTTGATGTCTTGTGGTCTTGATCTTAACTGACAGTAATCCACCATGATTTATCTGATTTGTTTTCAATATCCATGAATGGGATTGATCAACTTGATTGAAGAGTACATATTTTAATAAGCTCATTACATTGTAGCTCAGAAGTTCAAAACTATCCACAATGGTTTGAAAACATAGTCTTGTTTCTAGGGTCAATATAGTTTGTGTAGATGTTCATTATATGTCATCCTTATGTGTGTTTAATATTTAGTATATGTGTATATATTGTTGTCATGTATATTTTCTTCCCTCATGAAGCACACCCTAATTTCTATTTTGGTGTTTCAGAATAGATCATTACCTCTTTCCTCTAGGTTATTTTTGAGGACATCCTTTTTCTTTCTTTTTTGATGATAAATGAAATTTTATTACCAAGTTGAGAGAGTTTAAGGGCATCTCTAATCTAACACCAAAATTTACACCAAATCCTATTTTGGTGTAAAATTTGGTGTTTTTCATCTCCAACCCAACACTAAATTTCACACTATTATAATGGGAATAGTGTCACACCAAATTTGGTGCAACACTATCAGGCCATATAACACCAAATTTTACACTAAAATGGTGTCAATGCCATTTTAGCGTATACCAACTTCAATGCACTACACTAAATTTTACAATAAAAAAAAATATTCTTTTTATATTCTTCTCTCTAATCAATATTATATTATTATTTTTATTTTAATTATATTTTCTTATTTCATAAATAAATCTCTTCTTTTTTTTTCATTTCACCCTATATAATTCATATATTTTTCTCATATAATCATTTAGTACAAAATCATTTTATATCAGAAAATTTTAAATAATATAAATCACAAGCAAATACTATACATTATAAATATTAATGAATAATTCAAATAAAAGTGAAATCATTGATGAAATACAATTAAATAAATATTACATTATGGTAAAATTTATTTTAATTTTTTACATAAATATTCAACTTTCAAGATTAGTATATTGCTCCCATAAATTCTCTATTGATGAACTACATAAAAAAATAATTAGGTATCTTAGGGACTCAATTAAAAACATACAATTTGTAATACGTTAAATTATAAGTGTTATATAATAAAAATAAAAGTTCAAAAAAAATCAAGAACATACTTGATGTTGATGAATATTGTCACACCAAATTGGTGTGAAACTATTCACAAACTATAATAGTGTAGAATTTAGTGTTGAGTTGGAGATGAAAACACCAAATTTTGGGGTTGGAGATGCCCTAATCAACATTAGTTGTACTCTTGATTATTTTATTATTATTTGTATTATATTACACTTTCAATTTAACATATTATAAATTGTATGTTTTTAATTAAGTCCCTAATGTACCTAATTATTTTAATGTAATATCTTTATAATTTAAATTTTATATTTTGATGTATAATTTTTCTATTTAATTTTCCGTATATGTTATTTTTATAAAAAATATAAGTTAATTTTATTATAAATTATAATTGTATAAAAAGATATAGCCATTCACAAAAATAAAAAGTGCAAATATGATATGTTGTTAAATAACACAATGCGCTTTAGATAACATAACAATAAACATTCAATAAAGTAGTGACGGACTTGCATCAAAGTTGAAAAATGCATAACATAATCTTGGAAGTTGAATATTTATGTAGAAATTAAAATAAATTTTATCATAAATTTATTTTATGAAATAAAAAATATAAATGAAATAAAATATAATATTAAAGAGATAGAAGAATTTAAAAAGAATATTCCTTTTTAGTATAAAGTTTAGTGTAGTCCATTGGAGTTGGTTTACACTAAAATGGTGTCATGACACCATTTTAGTGTAAACCAACTCCAATGGACTACACTAAACTTTATACTAAAAAGGAATATTCTTTTTAAATTCTTCTATCTCTTTAATATTATATTTTATTTCATTTATATTTTTTATTTCATAAAATAAATTTAATTTGGTGTTATGGGTTGGAGATGGCCTAAGCACTAAACAAAATCAGAGGATAATGCAGTGGACAAAGAACCCCAAACTTGCATCATCTCACTGCCTTCTAAACACAAACATGCTATCAGAACGAAAATGAATCTAATTAATGTAGTGGTTGTGGTTCTGCATCCATACTCTTGAGTTTTCTCTTCATAAAACCTCTAATGTGCACCTCTTGGACTATCTGCTTCACAATGACTGCTTGTTGTTCGCAAACACTATTTGGTTTCTCTCAAGCCAAACTTAGTAGACATGAGCTGCTAGACACCTTCTAAACACTTCAGATTTTATGCTCTTATCCCTAGCATGTTGTACAGTCCAGTTCAGTTCTTCCTCCCAACACATAGGATCACTGGTAATTCCTTGCCATACCAGAAGCTTTTTCCACACTAGAGCAGATACACATTGGAATAATAAGTGAGTAATACTTTCATCCTCTTTCCCACACAAAGGGCAAGCATGGAAGCTGATGACACCCCATTTGATAAGCTTACGTCTTGTGTATAACTTCCCATTCACAGTCAGCCAAAGAATAAAAATCCATCGAGGCAGTCCATAGTTGTTGCACACAATTTTCCTCTACATTACCTTCTTGTAGTCACCCCTTAGTTTTTGGTAGAACAATTTTAATAGAGAAACTGTCCATGCAGAAGTTCTTCCATAAAGTAACCAACTTCAAGTACATACTTCTTGGTCTTAGGTATTTTTTGTACAATCTAGATGATTGTTTAGGAATCAACAACATACCTAATGTAACCCCACAAGTGGGGTCAGGGGAGGGTAGTGTGTACACATACCCCTAACCCTACCTTGTGCAGGTAGAGATGCTGTTTCGGATAAACCTTCGGCTCAAGACAAGCATGAACACTACATGTATGGAAACATAAGCAGTAACAACAGTAGGATAGAAGAAAATCGAAGCATAAGAGACAACAAGTAGTAATAGAAAACTAGGAATGAGAAATATGGAGCTAATAAATAATACTAATACTATTGGTAAAGAAAAGCAAAACGCGAAACTAACTACTACTAGCCTTCTACCCTTATTCTCGCCCTCCACACCCTCCTATCAAGGGTCGTATCCTAGTTGAGCTAAAGTCTTGCAATGTCCTACCCGATCCCCAATACTTCTTCGGCATACCTCTACCTCTCCTCAAGCCTTCCCACGTCAGCCTCTCACACCTACTCAATGGTGTGTTTGTACATCTCTTGACATGCCCTAACCATCTCAGTGTTGCCTTCTTGCCTTCTGCATCTTGTCCGCCACAAAAGTCACTCCTACCTTGTCCCGAATCACACATGAGAGTTCTTGACTGGTCAAAAATACACCCCTATGCAACAAAGTCGATCTAACCACTACTCTGTAAAAGTATTGGTGATGCCTTATCAAACAAGACACCAAATGCTAATACGATGATTATTGTTTAGAAATGTCATCTATAATGTTTCTGTCTCCCATAATAACTGTGTATCCCGTTTACCCAAAGTGTATCCTTTTCCACACATGTTCCACAACAGCTTACTTATGGCTACCTTGTTCCATGTAGCAACATCTATGACATTCAACCACCCAGCTGTCTTTGGTGAACATACTTTTATTCCAAGCTACCATGGCTTTGTTTGATATATGAGTCCCACCCGTCCACAAGAACCTTCTGCATGTGGCCGCAGTAAGTTTCACTTTCTTCTTAAGCAGAACAAAAACCTGCCCATGAAACTTGAATGGAATAGACCCTCCCTGAATAAGATATAAACTTGTTAGTCCAAGATTTAGTCCTGCCCAGCATCCTTTAGCAGGGGCTGACATTGTAGTACTGACACTCTTTTGGTGCTAAGTATCGCTCCAAGGTAGCTAAAGGAAGTTGTCCTTCAGTAAAGTTTAGGAGGTGAAGGATGGCTTGTTGGTCCTCTGTAGAGAAACCCCTCCCCAGGTGAATATTCATCTATCATTTTTGCTGATTAAAGAACAGGTCTCTCTCAGTGAGGGTACTATCTTGAAGCGTTTTTAGCGAGACTATAAAAACTTCTTATGTTTTCAGTCTTTTGCACTTGATTTTTTTCTCATCCAATTACCAATCTTATGGCGTAAAGGCCTATGAAATGCTAGTATTGTACAAAACCATGTTGATTAGATTCACTAGGTCTGGCTCTCTCCTTCAAATCTAACCTCTCTGAACTGTAAAATGAGAATATTCTCTTAGCTTTATAAAGTAAGATTCCTTTTTCTCACCCAAAATAAGCAATGATAGTAGAATCTCAAGTCCTTTGACTTGCGATATTGGGTTTGATTTTACCTGTCTAAGTTGCTTCCAACGTTCTGATCTGATATAATTAAAATATCATTTGTTTTGTTGACTTCATTTCTTCTCGATGATGTGTGTTTTGAATCAAATTTTGTGAAATTATATCCCTATCTTTTATATATATGTTAGATATAACAAAGGTTTGACATTTTTTGTTTTCTGCAGAATGAAGCTGTCTTGAGGGCATGTTCTGAAGCACCTCCATCCGAAACTTCAGAGGTTGATGCTGGACAAATAAGTAATGTGCAGTTAAAAACCAGTAAGAGTTAGTTCTGAAAAGGGTGACCGAGTATGAAGAGGCAAAATGAAATATGCGTGACAGCTGCTTGCAAGGTTAACGACATTAATGGACTACCCCTGAATTTTGCTTTACCTGTTAGCGTTATGTTAGTATCTGGTGAAGTGATTTGGATGTCTCACTTTCACATGGTTACTCTAGATCATGCATGTTATAGCTGAGACAACTATCTCCTTCATCTTTGGTGATCCAAAGTATACTTTTCTTAGCTTAGATGTACTGAGTATTTACATCGCTGACAAAATTTATCACGTAGAATCTATTCTGAGGTCATGCTTCTGTTTGTGTTTGATCACAAGTTTGTTTGGTCATGGCCAGATTGTGAGACATCTGACTTATAGCGTTTCTGTCCAAGTCTAATTGTTTTGCTTAGGTGATTTTGGTCCCTCTTCAGTAGCAAAGGCTAGCCCTTTAGTTTGAAATGGAGTCCTTGCATATTTCTGGTGTAACTCTCAACTCTCACATTGGTGATTTCGATTAAGATTATGTCGATCAAGGTGTATTTAGATCGTCTTAGCCTCGAGTGCATTTCATTGGGAAAAACTTGAACAGTTGGATTAGGTGTAGAAACAGGAAATGGAAATCATTGTCCAAGTCTGGACATGTCATGCAGAAAAGCTGTCTGTCTTTATTTTTTTTGGTTTCCAATTTTCCTACCAAGGACTTTTTCATATCCAGAGCTCGAAATCGAGACCTCTTTTGTTAAGGGAGGAACAACCTTATTCAATGCACCACATCTTTTGGTTACGTCAAGTTTGGTAACAACTATAGTAGTGGCCATACAAAAGTTATATTTAATCTAGTGTACTCACATGTGATGATGAATCTTGGAAGGCTACAATAAGTTTGCACTACTTGTGTACAAACTAATCAATCCAAATATGAACATCAATATTTTTTTGTGTACAACTTTTTGAAGTGGTTATTGAACTAGTCAACGTTAGAAAACTACCTTTACATGTGGAAAGTGGGTAGAGTACCTTTCTTTCACTATAAGAATTGACCTAACCCCATATGAGGCCATAAAAGCTGTGTTCATTGTTTGTATTCTACTCTGACGGCTTGCTAACGCCATTGACAATGTCAAGTCAGTAATCTACACAACCATTCAAACCCTACTACTATCATATCCTAAAAGTAAACATCTCGATGTGTCGAGTTCTGAGAATAATATTATTATTTTTTGCTTTGAATGTTTTATTATCGTTAATGAGCCCTCTAACGATAGTGGAGGTAGGATTTTCATCAGGAAAGTTCATGATTAGTTATATGTACTTCGACCTTATGTATACAGTGTGATTATCTGATATATAGGGGTTGGAAGAGCCCGGAACTCCCTTCTTGATCCTCTAGCTCGGCTCCTACCTACTGATGTGCATCTAAATTAGTTAGGTTGATGAATTTTAGATATTAAATTTAAAAAATAAAATAAAAAACAAAACATTCACATGAAGCCTTATCTTACCCCTTTCTACACTCCCACCTTTTATGAAGTGCTTAAAGCCATGACAATGAAATATCAATCTTTTTTATATGAAGGATTTTATTCTCTTTTAACGGGTCCATCGATAATAGCAAAGTTCATCGTAAATTATACATACATAAAAAATAATATATGACCTTATATGCAATCATGTCCTACATATAGGATTCGGATAAGCCCTGAACTCCTTTCTGCATCTTTAGCTACGCTCCTACCTATTGATGTGCATCGAAATTAATTAGGTCAATGAAATTTAGGTACAAAAGTAAACCCAAAAAAAAAATTAAAAAAATTAAAGTCTTATCCTACCCCCTTTCTACACTCCCACCTTATATGAGGTACTTAAAGCCATGACAATGAAATATGAATATTATTATGTGAATATGTATAATACTATAAAGTAACGTGAAGGACTTCAAAAGCCTTTTAGCTGATTCTGAACCACTGTCACAAGGAACTCTGGTCGGCATTTTTTTATAGCTTCTCAAAAGTTAGTGCCCCCCTTTATCTTCCAAAAAAGAAAATTGACTACTATTTGTTTTTTCTTTTTTTTTTCTGTCTTTCATACGATGTGCGATACTCATATTAAAGTCTCGATTGTTTTAGATACACGTCGTGTAATACACATTTAAGAAGAAAACATTTCTTAACACCGAATTGCTTTTATGCTAAATTTAAATCTAAAACTTCTGATTAAGATGAAGAGATCATATTCATCCTACCATAATTCTGATCGTGAAAATTGAGTATGTTGCTATTAAATTAGTTTAATTATTGCATAATGTTTCTTCTATCAAGTTTTCACTATGAGCCGCCCTTTTGCTTCTTAACTCCCACTTGGCAATTATTGAAAGGGCTTATGCCCCCCAATTATTTATAATCTTTGTCTGTGAGATCATGTCACATCCAAATAAATCACCTTATTATAGTTCTTAATTACTGCTTACCTTGCATAAAGACATTAACCAAATGATTAAAATAAGTGGTCAATGAGTATGTTTGCTTGCTAATTATAGTTATCCATGATTGTCACAATTTGAACGGAAACGAATTCAGAATTTTAAACATATATTATTGTCATCCACTATTATTTTGTGAGTTGTGACAATGAATTTAAACTAGTAAGTAGCCAAAACTTGTTTTGTAATCGGCTTGAGGATATCAGACGTTCATCTTGCGATATACAAATATATAATCAAAACTTAGTCTGAATCATGTCCTGCATAATCACTTGATCAGAGGCATTTCTTTTTACGTATAAGGAAGAGTAATTCACTCGCTTTCGAAAAATATTTTCTAGTAATTATTGTCCTCATACTACATCCAACGTATGACCTATGTATACGTTTGTAATTTTAAATCATGTATATGAGTCAGTATTAAGCGTGCATGTCTCTTCCATTGAAAAAGAAAGAAAAATATATTGGGGCTAACTATTAATTAGTAAATATTTGTAGAAATTTCTTGCTTAATTAAGTCAATTTTTCAATGTAGTTGGAAGATAGTTGGAGAATCTCTTTGCTTAGTCTTCCTCTATGGATTTCCATATAATTTAGTTAATGATTAACAAGATTATACATTTTTATATAAGGGTGTTAGGTAATGTCCCTTCCAATTAAGAGAAAAGTAGATAGAGATTTATTTGTTATACAAGGCAATGTCAGAAGGTATAATACATAAATATGTCTTTTAATTTGGTTTCAACTGGTATTTATGCCCTCCAACTTTAAATGTGCACAAGTTGACACTTACACTTGTATAAAATTGAACAAGTAGACATATGTGTCCTATGTGGCATCATACATGTAAGACACAAAATTGTCATGTAGAACGTCATGTAGGACGAATGTGTCTATTTGTTCAATATTATACATGTTCAAATGTCTACTTGTGCACAACCAAAGTTAGAGGACATATGTCAATTGAGGCCAAGTTAAATGACATTTTTATGTATTATGTCATGCCAGAAATCTGAAATCCAGTGACATAGTCAGAAATTTGTATAAAAAAATTTAAAAAGAAGACTTAATACCACAATTATTAGGATTTGATCTTGTGATATGATACAACTTTTAAACCTCCTTTAATGTTACACTTGAAAAAAAAAATCTTATATCAAAAAGATTCAAACATCTTACCTATATATACCACAACATCAAAACTATTCGTTTTCATCCTATTCACACATTATAATTTTTGAGATCTCTACACAAATAATCAGTTCAATTTATTGTTTATTTTTTTAACTTGGTATACATAAATTCTAAATTAATTATACAAAATTATACATATACTATATATTTATCAGCTATTTTTAATTAAACAATTAGCTGAATAACTATATAAATTAATTTCTTGATAGACGATATTCAGTTGAACCCCTTCCATCCGTCTAGTTCCGCAAGTGGCCCCATAAAACATTTTTTTTTCTTCTACATTTGAAAAAAAAAATGAAGCATGACCCCTTTGTTCTTTGAATCCATTGGACTACTTTCTTTATTTTTTTCAGATGTTGTCCTTGTTATATGAAATTTCATTTTCTCCAATTTCACCCACCTATCCTCTAAATTCAATAATTCTGTTAACTCTGCCCCTTCACAAATATACACCTAATTATTTCTCTTTTTGTCTTGTGTGTTTGCTAGTAAGATTAGTAGCACCAATGTCACCAACCTCTTTGAAATGTGTCATGGAATGTATTTTGGGACTATCTGAACAAATAATATATGTATCCAGTGTAATACATAAGTGCTATCTGAAAAGGTTAGCGTGTATATAAATTTTATTTTTACCTTAGATGGTAATCAGTAGAGAAGTTGTTTTTGATAGTTCATTGATTCAAGAAGAAGCATATCAAAACAGTTAAAAAAAAAAAATGAAAGTGAAGATAACGCTTAGCTACCTACTAAAAAAATACGAAAGATAGTCTGACAAAACATTCTGATTATTATTTTTTGTCTGTCTAGGTGTTTTTCTTCTTCGAAGTTCTTCACCAACTATCCAAGGTTGAAGGACAAGTTTGGTCACCATTCTGTTTTTTTGGACATTAAGAGTTCTTTTTTCTGCCTTCGAGGCTAGCCTCCTTTACGGGATATTAGAAAAAAATATGAGTTGTAATGACTTTTTTTATGAATATACACACTCTAATTTTTACTTTACTAAACCAAAGTTGTTGTAATATATTTTGAAACTAAAAAAATCATTCAAATCTTATTTAAGTATCGCAAAAGTCATTAAAATATTTTTTATTAAAAAATAAATATTCAACATTACTAAGTAGCATAGAAAATCACTAGAAGTAAAACAAACAAAACATTTTTTTGACATTTAGGCAAAGTTGAGTAACATTTTCGTTATAAAAAAAACATTTAGTAACTTTATGTAATATTTAAATAAAGTTGAGAGACAATTGTGTATAAAAAATAATTTAATGATTTTAACATAATAAGACAAAAAAAATTCGAGTGGCCATTAAATTACCCCTAATTATAGGTGATCTTAGGACAAACGAATTTGACAATGTTTAAGAGGATTTTTCTTAATTATGTGAAGGAATTAGCATTGAACATGGTAGTGGATTTTTAACTTTTATATTGTAATAAAAAATGAATTAAAAGGAAGCCTTTTTTGGGTTCCAAAAATGGATAGGTAAATAGGTGATCTAATTTTATAGGAAAATTAATAATTTTAGTCTTCATATTATTATATAATTTAAATTTTAATCCTTATGTTATTTAACGGTGCACATTTAGCTTTTAGTTATTCAAAATGTGTGATTTGATCCTTGTAAGTTAATGAAAGCTAAATATTTGACGGAATTATTACTAA